CAGGTATGCAGCAGGACCCAGGCCAGGGATGGGCAAGAGGGGATGAGAGAGGACCACATCCATACATCTTCAACGTGAGCCCCGAGGTGGTGCAGGTATGCAGCAGGACCCAGGCCAGGGATGGGCAAGAGGGGATGAGTGAGGACCACATCCAAACTTGAGAATGGCTAAGATGGAGAGGCGAAATGCTCTGCTCTTGGGAGGGGGGATAGGATGGCATAGGGACTGGGGAACAGCAGCATCCAGGAGCAACCCAAGGTACCTGTGGCTATAGCAAGTGCCCCAGGTTCTATTGCCTCATAAGCTGGGACAGCCTCACCAAACTGGTCTTTCATTTGATCATCATGACAATGACCTTTCCTGGAATTCTTGGCTCTATGGCAGACATTGTATTTAACACTTTGACATTGTAATCTTGGGACTAGAGGGATGGCTCAGAGCTTAAGAAGAAAAATTACTGCTCTTGCAGAGGACCTGGGTTTAGTACCAAGACCCAGGACCCACATAGTGGCTCACAACCATTGGTAACTTCAGTTCCAGGAGATCAGATGCCCTCTTCTGGCCTTCTCAGTCACTAAGCATGTACATGGTGCACACACATGCATGCAAACAAAGCACGCACATAATAAAAGGAAGTTAATTTATCTCATTCTTCTCAGAGTTCTATAAAGAAGGTCTTGCCATTATTCTGCCATACTTAAGGACATACAGCTGGCAGGTGGCATCCAGGGGATTGAGAAACAAGAGCCCGAGCTCAGCGTCCTCTCCCAACTGCCCTGTGTTCTTCTTCAGTTCATCTTTCTGTCTATCCACGTCCTACCCACCTCAACTTACCACTTAACCAACAGTGAACTTGGAGACTACGTCAGGGTACAGGGTGGTGTCAGGGTACAGGGCGGCACTGACGGAGCCGACAGAAGCAGCCAGGTGGAACTGTGCTTTGCCAGGTCAAGTCTCATAACATGTGAAAGACTGACTGCCTCATACAATCTCCTACATCTGTTCTAACCCTTGCTAGTGCTTACAGTTAAATTCGTTCAGTGTGGGCCCTGAGGAGAACAGAAAGAACAAGGGAAGGGTGTCTTGCCTATTTCTGCCACTCAGGAAAACAAAACTAAACAAAACAAAAAACCAAACCCAAACATCCTTTTGGGATTCTGATCCTTCCTTCTCTCCAGTGTGAAAATCTTTATAACATTTCTAAGGGGTTAGGACCAGCCAGCCACTGGTCTCAGGTAGCTGTACCTGCGCTTTTAGAGATGACAGCTGTAGTCTGGATACTAAAGAAACAGTATAAACTTACTTTACTTTGTGTGTGACTTTTCCTGTCTGTGACATGTTGGAGGAACAGTCTGTTTTGGACATAGGTTTGTAACATTAAAATTATTCTGCTCTATTTGGTGTAGTTGATTGGTTGGTTGGTTTTGAGGCAGGGTCTTACTATATATATAGCCCTGGCCGACCTGGAACTCTATATGAAGACCAGCAGGGTAGCCTCAGACTTGGGACGATCCTCCTGCTTCTGCCTCCCAAATGCTGGGTTATAAGTGTGCACTGCTGTACTCAGCTGGTTTGTTTGTTTGTTTGGTTGTTTGGTTGGTTGATTGATTGGTTTTGGTTTTTCAAGTGTGGCGGCTCAGGGTGGAATGTAAGAGTGCGGCTCATCTGGTTCTTCTGTGGCACGGTACCCATCTGTGGCATAGTACCCATCTGTGGCACAGTACCCATCTGTGGCACAGTACCCATCTGTGGCACAGTACCCATCTGTGGCACAGTACCCATCTGTGGCACAGTACTCATCTGTGGCACAGTACCCATCTGTGGCACAGTACCCATCTGTGGCACAGTACCCATCTGTGGCACAGTACCCATCTGTGGCACAGTACTCATCTGTGGCACAGTACCCATGGGGACCATCTAGAATAATCTTAAGTTTTACTCTCATCATTTGACAGTTAGCCCAGTGTATTTTTCTCATGGTTTCACACTTTTCTGTCTTATTATTGTTTCTTTATTAATATTTCCTGATTGGGTGTGATAAGTTATCAGACAAAAGCCAACTCCAGCCATTGGCTATTAGATGTGACAGTAATCAGTATTACTGTGACACTCTTTGTAAATACTCTGGAATTTTCCTTAGGAGATATTCCTGGATGGAAATGTGCCTGTCCTATTGTGGGGATTGGGGAATAAGTGGATCCTAGCCAAGATGTCCTAGGCCCCAGTCACCCTCATGTGTAGTATAGTCCACGTTGTAGCCAAAATGGATGGGCTGGAATAAGACTGAGGGAAACTGCCTTGTGCAATGGGATCGTTGAAATGTTAACAGTTGCATGCCCACACACACGTGGGTGCATATAGCATATACACAGAGTATAATGAGCTACAACCTCTGTCTGTCTCCTCGCCTACCTTCCTGCTCATCAGTCTTCTGCTGTACAGAAAGGAGGTTGGACATGCAGTGTGGACAGAGATTTAAGTACATAGCTTGGAGATTATGCAGAAGCAAGTTGTGCCCTCCCCCATGCTGCCACTGTCCTCCAAGCCTCATTGTACCTCCCTCATCCCCAGGACCTCCAACTGAGGACATAGCAGTTCTGGCATGTTCACAGAACTGGTGACAAGGGCAAACACATCTGTGCTTCAAGTCCAATGTGCTAGACACCAGAGTGTGCCTTTCACCTCCTTTGCTCTATGAAGATATACTTGGCAGCTGGTCTTAATGGCTCAAAGGGCTTCTCAGCAAATACCTAAAAGAACTTGGGAGACTATCTTTGGGGGATGGGGCCCAGTGCACCCAGGGTGGTAGTGGGGGTAATTTGGAGTGTACTGTGTGGTAGCAGCTAGAGCAGTTAGAGACCTCCCAGTCAGGCCGAGCTGTATCCGGCACTGAGTCAAGCCCTGGCTGAATCATGAAGTCCCAAATGATCCAGCAGAGCTGTGTGCTTAGGGAGTAGTGGACTCACTGGATCCGAGGAGCAGATGGGCTACGGGGCCCCAAGGTTGAGTGGATGATGGGAGCCAGAATGTCCCTTAGGATAGAGGTCTCTAGGAACCAAGGTTGGTGGCGAGAGAACAGGAATACTGCCTGCTGTCTGTGACCTCTCACCTGGAGACAGTTGGCAGCTGAGAAGCTGGCTGGTCAGGCAGAGGTAATGTCTTGCCCATCTTCATGTATGGAGAGGTGTTGTCTTCCACCCTGTCTCCCCACATCAGTAACTTGTTGGGCAGTAGTTAGGATCCCCTTTCCATCCATTCTCTGGATGTTCCTAAGCAGCGATATGTCTGTACACATGGACTTTTGTCATAAAGACCAGGGCTCCCAGTCCTTCCCAGTTCCCCACCCTGCAGCAGGCCTGGGCCTTTAATAGAATAGCATGCTTCTTACTGTGCCAGACTGGCCCTAGGTCATGGACACTAGAAATTAAGTAGCTTTATCTCCCTGGCCTGCCTGCCCTAGTGCCTTAGCCCACCTACCATTAAGGAAGCTAACAACTCCCCGAAGGCTTGGCAGGACATGACTCCTATGGATGAGGAGGAGTACAGAGATCCTGCTGATGCCCTTATGAGGTAGCTTCAACCTTAGCATCCCAGCCTGCCACATCGAGGTCCCAGAACCTGTCAGCCTCTTTATGTGGCAGCATAGATCCTTCTAGAGATCTGCTTGACTCTGAAGTTTGAGCTGGAGAGAGTTTCTTCTGAGGAGTACAGACTACAGAACTCAGCTCCTCCCCTCCAAAACAAAAACCAAAAATCAGTTCCCAGTGCATGTGAGCATGATGACAGCAGGCCAGGCAGCCATAGCATCTTCTCCTTGTTCTGGATGGGAGTTACACATCCTATGGCTGCCTGGCTGAATGTGCCCTCTGAAGGCCCTCGGGCTTGCTGCTGGGGCTACTTTCCAATGGGAACTGAACACCTTTAAGTTCTGTGGCTGAGGACATGCAGGTGTGAGGGCACCCAGAACCTGAGGTGCTGAGTGTCCCAAGGGCCCCTTGATCTTCTCTTCCTGTGTATCCCAGAGCAATCCACTTCATCCCTCTGAGCCTCAGTTTACCCATGTCGGGAAAGGTTCAGATAGTTTTCTCAGCTTTCTCCTCAGGCTTTCAGAGACAGAGAGAAGCCAGAGCAGTAGAATTGTGTCCTGTGAGGTGGAGGTAGTTGGGGAGACTGCCTGGAACCCTGCTGCCTCTGTCACTGAACCCTTCAACCAGGCTGGGCTGTGCCTCAGGCCTCTGCTATATATCTTCTCCAATGACTTCAGTCCCATTGTTCTTTTTTTTTTTTTTTTTTTAAAGATTTATTTATTTCATTTATATGAGTACACTGTAGCTGTCTTCAGACACACCAGAAGAGGGCATCAAATCTCATTACAGATGGTTGTGAGCCACCATGTGGTTGCTGGGATTTGAACTCAGGACCTCTAGAAGAGCAGTCAGTGCTCTTAACCACTGAGCCATCTCTCCAGCCCCCCCCCATTGTTCTTTAGAAAGGACTTCTCAGTGCTTTACTATTGGTCTCCTATGGAACATGTGTCCTACGTATGTCCTGTGGGCACAGCTGGGACCCCTCCCCTACAAGCGCATTATCCCCTCACAGGCCCAAGCCGGTTTTTTCACTCACAGATTTTCATGGATCGGCCTTCTGTGTTTTCACCTCTTTGTGTTTGCTGCTGTTGCTTATCCCACACAGGAAGTGATCAGGACACAAATTAGAGGCCCATGGATAGGGAGACACAGAGTGCCTTTAAACTGCTTTCCACAACACCCAGTGGCAGGGGTTGTTTATGAAGTGAGCAAGCGGAGGCCTCCCTGTTCCTGTGCTCTGAGATAAGCACCTTGTTTGCAGTTGCCAGGTACCCTGGCCAGACCTCTCCGTGCACGCTGCAGTCTTTGACACTTGACAGCTCACGCTTGTTCCCTTCCTGCCTTTTGTTTGCTATAATG